TGTATCCTTTTGATCCTCAAAATGACCTGTGTCATAGGAATAAATTTAATAAAAGAAGTGCAAGACCTGAATGTTGAAAACACAAAACATTGTGAAACTGTATTAAAGAAGACCTAAGTAATTGGAAAGACATCCTATGTCCTGGATTGGAATCTTAATATTTTTAAGATGGCAGTACTCCTCATATTGATCTATAGATTCGTTGTAATCTCTATCAGAATCTCAGCTGCCTTTTTTTCTTCTTTTCTCCTTCTTTTCCGGGTTTTTTTATTTTTTACAGTAAGTGACAAGCTGATTCTAAAATTTATATGGAAATACAAGGATCCAGAGTAGCCAGACAATTTTAAAAGATGAACAAAGTAGGAGGACTCACTTTTCCCAATTTTAAAACTTGCTACAAAGCCATGTCAATCAAAATGGTGTGGTACTGGTATAAGGGTAGGTAGACATGTAGATCAATGAAATAGAATTGAGTGAACAGAAATAAACCCTTAATTTTATGGAAAGGTGGCAAGACAATTTAACAGGGGAAAGAATAGTCTTTTTAACAAATGGTGCCATGACAAGTAGATATCCACATACAAAAGAATCAGGTTGAATCCCTGCTTTACACCATTTATAGGAATTAACTCAAAAAGTGTCGTAGACCTAAATATAAGAAGTAAAACTGTAAAACTCTTAGAAGAAATGGTTTTTTTTGGATATGATACCAAAAGAAGCAACAAAAGAAAAAAATAGATAAATTGGACTTCCTCTAAATAAAAACTTGTGCTTCAACGAACACCATTAAGGAGGTATATGTAGAGATAACATAAGTACTTTCTCTCTGACCTCTTTACCACTTTTATTTTCCCATTGTTCTCTTTTGCTTACTTACAAGGCAATGACAGTGCTATGTAAATAGTGCCTTGCAAATTCTCAGTAGATATTTGTTGAAAATGGAAAAATTAAAGCTATATGATACATTTCATTTTATAAAAATTTTCTAATATTAGGGCGTCCATATTAATTGCATTTTAATATCTTAAGGTGCTTTGAATATCAGATTGTTTCATGTTACAGCAAAAATTCTTAGTATGGCTAATTGTATCATACTGTGCATGCTGGAGGAAATAACTTGAGTATATTTGTGTTTAGTTAAAAAGTATGAAATTGTAAAGAAAGGCAAGGGTTGCCTTTTTGTCAATTTCATAAGCTAACTACGTAAAAGAGGTAGTTAATTCAAGACACTTTATTTTATTTTATTTTATTTTTTGTCCTTTTTGAGACTGGCTGCACCGTGCTCAGCCAGTGAGCGCTGTGAACGCACCGGTCATCCCTATATAGGATCCGAACCCGCAGCAGGAGCGCTGCTGCGCTCCCAGCGCCGCACTCTCCCGAGTGCACCACGGGCTCGGCCCGATTCACGACACTTTAAACATTTATTGAGTGCTTTATAGTTTGTTAAATGCTTGCATTTGTCTTAATTTGAGCCTCACATTAACCATGTTAGATAGATGAGACAGCTGTTATTTCTGCTCTATAGATGAAGAAACTGAGGCCTAGGAAATGGGAAGGGCAACACAGAAAGCAGCAGTGCAATCAGTTGAACTCACATTCTGTCTCTTTAAATTTTGTCCAGTGGCAACAACTTCAGTCACAGTAAGTCACTAGTTCAGGTGCCATTCCAGATCCTGGGATTTATGAATAACTATCAAATGTTTTATTGTGCAGACTAGCGTTAACTGTGATGACAGCTCAGTTGCAAAAACATACCACAACAATATTTTGAGTTCTCCATGATGCAGTACTTAGATATGAAGGAACTGTATCTGTCAGGATCCAGACAGGCATAGAACTAAGTGTACTATCTTTAGAATGTGACACACTGATACTACATGTACATTCTGTTTTTATAAAAGTGAACAATATCCTGATTGAAGTGCCACTTTTAATGAGGCAAAATGCCTGTTGTTTTCTTTATTATATGAGAAGCTCACTGGAGAGGAGAAAGCCTTATTGATGAATCTATTTTGGAAAGTTTATATTCCACAACATCCTGAAAGTTCTTCCCTTGTTTCCCTTAAGTAGACAAATACGTAATGACAACATCGTCTGTAGAAAATCAGCTTGACACTGTCTGGGTAAAGGACTTGACAAAAAATACAGGCAGTTTTGTTCTTGCCAGTTGATCTAAAGGTTTAACTCTTTAAGTTGGTTGATACCACTAGGGAAAAGCTGGAAGAGATTAACATGGCTCCTGAAGAAAAATATTCTTGAGGATACCTTGGGGTGGAAAATTGCTGAAAGTCCTTCAGGACCAGAAACTGGAAATAATTTATTCAAGGTTGCCTTTGAGTCTGCATCTTTATTTTTGTCATTTTATTGAAAAGCTGTTTTCCATAGGCCATGCTGGAAATCTTATGTCTTTTAAGGTTTCCCCATCACTGATATAGAATGTTCTGGAGTTACTAGAAGATAGATTTTATAGGAACTGAAAACCTTTAATTGTTCTGATATTGGTAAGGATGCCAGTCTGCAGAGTACAAATAGTGTAATAAAAGTCTTTTGAAAGCACTAGATTGTTCTTTGAAATAGATAGTGGTTGATCTGCCTCATATTTAACTAAAAAAGGTGACAGGACTTGGTCAGTCATGTAAACACTTTGATGCTCTCTGTAGATAGGACAGGAAGGACAAGGAAGATGGACAGAAAGTGTTCCCATTTCCTGCTTATCCTGTGTCTCTGTCCCTTTCCTGTCATCTTTCTCTCCGGGGTGACTAGCCTGGAGCTTGTTGAAACAGTTTTTTTTGTTGTTTGTTTTTGTTTTTCAGCTGGCTGGTATAGTGAGGCAGTTTTAAAAAAGGGTAATTTTTTACATGAAACTGTGGACTTGGAGTACCCTGGCAGATCTAAGATATAGGCTGTGTTAGTTAAGAAAGAAGGAAAATGAATTATGGGGAAAGAGGACAAAGAAAAGTACATTCAAAAGAGTGCCACCGGCAGTGGTTTCAGTTGTCTAGCATATTGTGCCTAATTTGGGTGTGATCCTTTTTGGGGGGCCAGTCTGTTTTTTGAGCCTTGGATCTGAATGTTTTTATTTTGTTTTTTAAATGAATCTCCTTTTTCTAAGTGTTACTGAAATTGTAGAGAATCAAGAAGAAAAAAATCCATCCATAATCCTATCTTCCTTACAAAACCACTGTTAAACTGATGAAATACTATACTTCTAGCCAAATCTGTTTTTTTTTTTTTCTCTAATTATTTTTTTGTGTCTGGAATTAGAAAATGCCTATATTTTTGTCTTCTGCTTCTGTGAAATGTCTTTTAGTGTGTCCTTGGAAAGCTGGCTCGAGGACAAATGTTGGATGATACCATAGTGCATTAGCTAAATTGTCACTCTAGTCTGAAAAAGAACTTTGTATTATTGCATGTTGCTTTTTTCCTCAGTAGGTGGCTAGTATTTGTATATGCCATTACTATTAAGTAAATGAATAATCTTTAAAATTTTCCTGAACCTGAGGATGATTGGAAACTTCTGAGAAGACTGTTCTTTTCAGGAATTATCCTGATTTGTGGCCGGGGCATTAGCTGCTGCTTTCAGACGTATATACGTACATATACATATATATACACATGTATATATTTTTTGTATATAAAAATGTATATGTATATAAAAAATATATACATATATATTTTTGGTGGCTGGCTTGTATGGGGATCCAAAACCCTTGACTTTGGTATTATAACACTGTGCTGTAACTGAGCTAACTGGCCAGCCCTAGATATATATATGTTTGTTTGCTTGTTTCCAGTTAAATGAGTTCTTTCCTAAATGATCATATCCAGCTGTATTTTCTATGATGAAGTAATATACCATCATCAGTCTTCATTCTGGCTGACAAACCTAAATAGCTAGCTCTGGAGAATGAGTAATGGTGTCAGATAAGTTGGAAATGACCTGAATTCTCATTGGAGAAAACTTTTTTTGGTGCAGTGGTTCTGCTTTATTTTGCCTGAATCAAGTAAATTCCAGTACATTAAAGTCACTTATAGTTTTAATGTAGCCAATTGTATTAGGACAGACTTACTTGAGAATTCCTTTTTGACTCACACAGTAATGAAATTTTGCCAGTTTATTTTGTTAAAGCTAGGAAAAATTTTTTGAAGTTACTGGGTATTTAGCTAAATGAGCTGTACTTCTTAGCATCTAGAAGAAAAAAGGGAAGTCGTGCAATTTGGGATGTACTCTTTCATGGGAATTTTTAATCTCAGATATCAGGTGTTAGAAAGGTTAGATGGCCTTTGTCATCCTTGTTACTTAATCTCCGCAGATGAATCTTTTTTCACTCTTTTGTAAAAATAGGCCTATCTAATAATAAAATAGATTCATAGATATATTCTTAGTCATTTGGTTATATCAGTTTTGTTCATCACTGTGTCTTCTGTACTTTCTATAGTACTTGGCAGTAGCAAGCGCTCAGATATTTGTTGTATGGACAGTGTTGGTTATTGTTAATTGCAGAGTAATAAACCTTCCATTGTTCTTTTTTGTGGCTGTGGTTTAATTGGACTTGTTTCTTAAATTACACTAGAAAGCAAAGTTACCTTTATAAATTTAAGGCTCAACAGTAAAACCTCTTAAACATGTTCTTCCAAAACTTTAGGCTGAATAACTTTTCTGAAATGTCTTTTACTCTGCAATAGAAATAGATTTTAGAAATAGCTGTAGTAATTGTAAACTGTTAAGTAGAATTACTGCTGAGTGCAGTTTTCTGAGGCTCATATTATAGCACACTGTCATAGATTGCTGGGGGTAGCATAGTGAAAACAGGAAGTTTAATAATGAATATAAATTTAAAAATTCTAAAATTTATTGGAATAATTTGGTAGTGGGAAGAAGTATTTGGTGACTAATTTCTCTAAAGAGAAGTACAATTTCTCTGTTTAAAGTAAATGTATAAATGACCATTAAAACTGTACAAAGAGAAACATCCTAACTCTGTTTCTGTTCATTTCAGGACTGAAAACAGAGTGAAACCACTTTCTGAGTTAAAAGACTATTAAGAACACAAGATGGGGACTCCTGGTTCTGGAAGGAAAAGAATGCCTATGAAAGACCGATTTTCTGCAGAAGATGAAGCTTTGAGTAACATTGCCAGAGAGGTGAGTCTGATAAACCCCCTCTCAACACTGAGTAGCACGGTTGAGAGTATTGTAAAAATGCTGGGATGCCAGAGATACATTCATTCATTGAATAGTTTCAGAATGTTTATTATGAACAAGATGTTATGGCTGGCCTCTAAAATACTGTAATAGAATAAAATATGCTTGGATATTTGTTCAGCTCCTCTAAAATTACATTTTCATTTTATTTTTATGGTTTACTTGACTTCTAGGTACTTGTTCTAATGTATTGAAATTTAGAATTAATCTTCAGAATTTAAACTTAGGGTAATTAGAATGTTGAAGATATAATAACTGTATTATAGAAATGCTCATTAGGCTGTGTAATTAATATGATCCAGGACTTGCTGTATAAATGCTGACAGAAACAGTCCTTATTTGGTGTCTGTTCAGGTTCAATGTCTTAGCTGTTTTTTGAAACATTGCAGTGGAATTTTTATGTTTAATTGTTTTAGCTAGTACTAGAGCTTCTGCTGCATTTTTGTTTCAGTTTGTTGACAACTCAGAAGAAAGAAAAAAAAAGGGAAGGGTGTCACCTGTTGAATCACTGGCAACATTTCCTGTTGTATATTGGATATTTAAGATAAATCCCAGCTGGGATTTCTTAGTGAGGTGCCAGCTTCTGCTGCATTTTTGTTTCAGTTTGTTGACAACTCAGAAGAAAGAAAAAAAAAGGGAAGGATGTCACCTGTTGAATCACTGGCAACATTTCCTGTTGTATATTGGATATTTAAGATAAATCCCAGCTGGGATTTCTTAGTGAGGTGCCAGCTTTGTTTCACACTCTCTGTAACTGCAGACTAACTATAAACTTACCTGGTACAGGAATTGCTTAGAGTGTGATTAAAGTATATTCTTTTGGTGAGAATTACTTTCTTATCACTTCCTCTTTGTTGTTCTTAGTAAATAACTCATTTAGGACTAGTGCAGTTTCCTTTTGACATATTACACAGTCTTCTTTTCATCCAGCTCATTGTTATGTTTTCCTCTTGAAAGGCACTCAGTTAGAATTAGAAGTCAAATCCTGTATGAGGCTATTTGAAATAAAGAAAAGTTTTTATCTAAAAACTGATAAAATTATTTTTAAAGGGCCGAGCCCGTGGCACACTCGGGAGAGTGCAGCGCTGGGAGCACAGTAGCGCTCCCGCTGTGGGTTCGGATCCTATATAGGGATGGCCAGTGCGCTCACTGGCTGAGCGCGGTGCGGCCAGTCTCAAAAAAGGAAAAAAAAAAAATTATTTAAAAAAAATCAATGAGTTTTTTTTAGATAAGGAGGTAAAAGGTATTTAAAAATGAAAAAGTAGGTATTACTTTACAGTGATTTTAAATATTTGCACAAATGAAGCATTTTGGAAGCCACATAATTTTAGTTGAAAATTGAAACTATCCAAAATGTTTACTTCTAAAATTGGAGGGATTCACCCAGATTTCTGTAACGGAAGAAAATGCCTGCACCTTCTAGGCTCCTTTTGTGTTGTCACTAAGTGTTTGAAATGTTGTGTGTATGTATGCTTCCTTTACAAAATTTGGTAGGATTCTAACATCCAACACTTGTTGAGTCCTAGCTATCTGGCAAACATTAGTCTAAACTTTTAACATACATTAATTAATTTAATCCTTGTAAAATTCTGAGATTTTATTGTTATCTCCGTTTTACAGATGAGGAAACCATTGCACAGAAAAGTTAAGTAACTTTCCCAAGGTTACATAGCTATGAAATAACAGAGATTGAATTCAAACACATGAAGTGTGGATTCAAAGTCTGTGCGTTAATTTAACCACCTACCATGCTACACTTTTTCTCGATCTTCTCCAACTCCCATATCAATAGCTTATTTTTCTGTAACTTTTCATGACTTTGAAAGCAATTTCACAAATTGATTTTCATAGAAATCTCAGTCTAGGTAGGAAAGGTATTGTTATGAGTCTTATTTGCAGCTGAGGAAACAGATGAAACTGAGAGAGAACAATGTAAGAGGTATCAGAACTGGGGCTCATATCCAGCTACTTGTTCATTCTGCTTAACCATACTACTTCCAGGAGAGGTGGACTTTGGAGATTCATAAGTGTGGCTTTGAATTCTGGCTCTCCTAGTTCTGGTTGAATAATTTTGAGTAACTTCTCTGGATTTCAGTTTCCTCATCTGTGAAATGGGAATAATGCTGTCTTTCTGTCTCTCAGGACTGTTGTAATGAGTAAAAAGAGATAATCCATGTGAACCTTTAGGACAGTGTTAGACTTGCAGTAGGCTTAGTTGCTTATTAAAAAGTAGAAATACATAGTGAGAATAGAGGATGGTAGAAAGGTAAAATAGACTCCTTTTGTAAAAGAAACTTATTAAGACAGGTGTTCTAAAACATAGCTGATCATCAGAATCTCCCAGGGAGCTTTATTAATGTACAAATTCCTAAGTCTTAACCCCATTCTTGCCAAATCTGAATCTATGGGGGTTGAGCTCAGAAATCTGTATTTAAGTATACACATTCACACAAACTTACACTTCTTCCTAGGGGATTCTGTTGGCCAGTCAGGTTTGGGAATTACCATGAACCAAAATGCAAAGATGATCCTATCCTGAATGTTCAGTTTTTTATACTCACAGGTTTTCTTCCTGACTTCTTGATGTTGTTATTTTGCATGAAATAACTTAGTGTAATTCAGTTATTATATTAGAAGTTATATAAAAAGTATATCTAGTTTTTATTTTTATCTTTAAGAGCTCTGAGTGTGCATATGCCAGCTTTAATAACAAGGTAAAAAGGCTTTAACCTGAAATATGAAAAGGCCACTTTTCTATTGCTAAGATTTAAGACTTTATTTGCATGATGAGTGCCTAATGTGTGATGAGGTAGTTTTAAAACTTTAGAGGAAATATGTTTAGCAGTTTTAGTAGTTCTTTCATAGTTCTTTTAGATTCTTTCTCTTTCCTTTAAAGTTTTTATGGTCATTCATATACTGTTCATTCATACACTGGATGGTTAGCATTTACAGATAGTCCCAAATCCTTATTTTCTTCAGTAAGATCATCTCTTTTATCAAAAAACATTGCCTTAAGTTAGAAATAATCAAAAACTAACGAAACCCCCACAGTAATAAAAATGAAAAATAGCTTTATCTTTTTTTAGTTAAATCTTAAGAGTTTAATTTATCTTCACAATTTGAAATTGACAGGGAATGCTATAAATAAAGAAAAATAGCCTCCTTTTCTTCTTGGTTAGTATCTGCTCAGGTTTCCATGCTTCTCAGTTTGCCAAAAAGTAGGCAACCAGAGAGAATGAGGAGAAGAAAGGGCATAAACATATTCCACAAACTGGATTATTTGCATGCTAAAAAATGAAACCAAATGCACTTTTAAAATGATGGTAAAATATATATAGCATAAAATTTACCATCGTAACCATTAAGTGTACAGTTCTCTGGCATTAAGTACATTTACATTGTTTACTTTTTAGCTCCCACTTACAAGTGAGGATGTGTAGTATTTCTCGTTCTGTGCTTGGCTTATTTCATTAACATAATTTTCTCTAAGTTCATCCATGTTGCTGTGAATGGCAGAATTTCATTCTTTTCTATGGCAGAGTAGTGTTTCATTGTGTAAATATATCACATTTTCCTTATCCAGTCGTCTGTTGATGGACATTTAGGTTGGTTCAAGCTCTTTGCTCTTCTAAATAGAGTTGTGATAAATATGGGAGTGCAGGTATCCCTTTGACATGATGGTTTCCATTTCTTTGGGTATATACCCAGCAGTGGAATTGCTGGATTGTACAGGCAGTTCTATCAGTAGTTGTTTGAGGAAGCTCCATACTGTTTTCCGTAATGGCTGCACTAATTTATAGTCCTACCAACAATGTAGGAGGGTTCCCCTTTCTCTGCATCCTTGCTAGCATTTGTTATTCTCTGTCTTTTTTTGATCATGGCCAGTCTAACTGGTGTGAGATGATATCTCAATGTGGTTTTGATTTGCATTTCCCTGATGCTTAGTGATGTTGAGTGTTTTTTCAAGTGTCTGTTGGCCATTTGTATATCTTGCTTTGAGAAATGCCTCTTCAGCTCCTTTGCCCATTTTTTAATTGGGTTACTTATTTTTTTCCTGTGAAGTTGGTTTGAGTTCCTTGTATATTCTGGATATTAATCCCTTGTTGGATGCATAGCTCGCAAATATTTTCTCCAATTCTGTAGGTTGCTTTTTCACTCTGTTAATTGTTTCTTTTGCTTTGCCAAAGCTTTTTAGTTTGATATAATCCCATTTGTTTACTTTTTCTTTTGTTGCCTGTGCTTTTGGGGTTTTCTTATTCATAAAGTCTTTGCCCAGTCCTACTTCCTGAAGTGTTTCCCCTATGTTTTCTTTTAGGAGTTTTAAAGTTTCAGGTCTTATATTTAGGTCTTTAATCCATTTTGAGTTGATTTTGGTGTATGGTGAGAGGTACAGGTCTAGTTTCATTCTTCTACATATATGCAAGTCCAGTTTTCCCAGCACCATTTATTGATGAGGCAGTCTTTTCCCCAATGTATGTTCTTCATGCCTTTGTCAAAGATCAGTTGCCTGTAAGTACATGGATTGATTTCTGGGTTCTCTATTCTGTTTGGTCCAAGTATCTGTTTTTATGTCAGTACCATGCTGTTTTGGTTACTACAGCTTTGTAGTATAATTTGAAGTCAGGTAGTGTTATGCCTCTGGCTTTATTATTTTTTGCCTAGGATTGCTTTTGGGGCCATTTGGGGTCTTTTGTTGTTCCACATGGATGTTAGGATTGTTTTTTCTATTTCTGTGAAGAATGTCCTTGGTATTTTGATGGGGATTGCATTGAATTTGTAGATTGCTTTGGGTAGTATGGACTTTTTCACAATGTTTATTCTTCTAATCCAAGAACATGAAATGTCTTTCCATCTTTTTGTGTCCTCTTTAATTTCTTTCAGTAGTAATTTGTAGTTCTCATCGTAGAGATCTTTTACCTCCTTGGTTAAATTGATTCCTA